CGCCGGGTCCAGGACTTGAACCGCGGTCGACTATGTGGGAGTCCAGTGACATAGCCATTACACTAACTGCTGGTCCCAAGACTTTTTTCTTTTAAAGAGATTTTTGCTATAGGACATGTGTGCTCACCAGAGAGACAAGAGACAGAAAGCGAGAAATCACCCTCAGGGGGATGGTCACACCGCAATCCCTTCTCCTCCATTCTCCTCTCAGGATTTTGGGCATGCATACACATGTACCCGGCGTGAGTTTCAAGTCGCTTGGTCTGGGACTCAAATCGCAGTCAACCATGTGGGAGTCCAGCACCTTAACCACTTCGTCACTTGCTTTCTCAAAAGACTTTATTTTTAAAAGTTTAATCTTTCTCTACTTTTATTTTTAACATAGCTAACCAATCCAACTAATCAAAATCCCAAGAGGGCTTTTCTGGCACTAGAGAAGGCGACTCTCAAGTTATTAAACAAAAGAACAAGTAAAACAATTTAAAACTGGGGGGAAAAAAAAACACACACACACAAAAAAAAACCACAAAACAAATCTAATCGGATAACTGCCCAATCACATATCTTAATAAAGTAAATATAAAAACATAGATTCAATAGGAGAAAAGTAATTGAAGATTCTTCGGTGCCACTTACCAAGACACACAACACAGGAAGAGATGGGGATGGGAGCAGATTTGGTGGAAAGAAGGAAGCAGCTCTTTGTTAAGGTACCTATGATGTAAGACTCCTGCTAGACCTCGAAATGGAGATGGGGACACTGCAGGTGAGTCCGTGTGAAACTTATGGGAGAGATCCAGCTACAAAGAGATGTATCTGAAGCCATAGGATCCCCTGGACTTTCACTAAGCTTTACTGCCTTCTTCCTGTGAATGTCCACACTATGACTTTGCAAGCTTCAGAAGTTCATTCACTCCTTCCACGTGTTCCCATTGAGGAAACAGGTAGAAGTATGTTTGGACAAAGTTAGTAGAGGACTCTAGAGAGATTAATCACCATAGGGCCCCTTTTATTATTCCTGTACTAACACATCGTTTTAGAATACATGCCTTTTGTATTGTTTCCCTTCTTTAAAATCATTAATAAACTTTTACCTCCTACACGGATGCCACGCCTCTATCTGTAGTCACTCATGCCCTCTCTGTTGCTCCTTCAGTCTCCGCAAGCACGCCATGAATGCTGCCCTGGTCCTGGGTGTACACAGCCTGTGCCCACACAGCCTTCACCTGTGCCTTGACCACTATCCAAACCTTTAAGGGACTGAGCTCCAGCAAATCTGACTGTTCCAACCCAAGGTCTCTCATCTCCAAAACAAACTCACATGATCTAAATCATACGCTCTCTTGCATCTTACATCTTCAAATCTATTTCTCAAACTGAGGCCACTAAGGGTATTATAATTCAATGAATGTCCAACTGTGAATGCCAAAATCATGTAATCTTTCTAGTATGCGTACTTTTTTTTTTATCCACAAAGTACATGACCCAAGCCTAAAATGCAAAGGAGGCAATCAGTTGTATGCAAACACAAATGATCGTGCCTCCATCATCCACCTAGAGTACTGCAGGAATAACCGGAAGACGAAATCCAGTCACGGCTGTAGAGGAGCCGAGGCAGAAAGGGCAGTGATCAGGCATCGGGACTAGGAGACAGACTGCCCAGAGGTCCTCCAACTCCCCCTCAAGGGACCTTCCTCACTGCCAGCCCATAGCTGCAGGGTTTGATATACTGTCCTGGGAAGGGATCACCAGGCCTGGAGGAAAACTGTGCCTTATCTTCCAACCTTAACCAATGAAATAGTTAACTGCTGTATTCTCATTGGCATGGAGTAGAAAATTGGTTTAGGGAAACCCATCAAGTATGTGACTCAAAGCAACCAAAGCAGAGTGAGAAATCCACATGGAAACAAACACACATGCACACACATGCACAGGTAAGCACACACACACTTCAGATGCTATAGCCGAGCACGTCACACAGAATGGTATGCTTACCATGAAACGAGCTGATTTAGGAAACTAGGATTGTTGCCACCACCATTTATTTATCTAGTTCACAGCTAAGGAGAGAACACTATAGTTCTAAAAATGCAGAGAAGGCCCTGCCCTTAAGGGGCTTACAGTCTTAGTAGACAAATGTAACAGGCACATACAGAGCTGGACTCTAAGAAAGCAGATGCTAACAAATGCCACGAGACTTCAGAAGGCAGCGTAGAGTAAGAGGCATGAAACCCAGGTTCTAGTCCCAACCTGGTCAAGCAGTTAACCTCTTTGGGTTGATCACCCCAGGTGCAAAATGAAGGAGTGCGATTTAGAGGGTGTCTGCCATTTGTCTCCATCAGGATTCGGATCAAAAGGTGTGGCAAGTTTGGGGGAGGCGGCGGCACCTGGGGGGAGAGTGAAGGCAGGCAGAGAAGGGAGTTCAGACAAGGAAAGTGGTCTGAGGTAGGCGGAAGCACAGGGGCAGAGGGTCAAGTGTCACAAGGAACAATGGATTGAGGTAAAGGGGTGGCGGGAAGCCAGCTGTGGCAGCCCTCAGGCACCACCACACAGGTGTGAGCTGTGTTCCTGACATTTACATCCAGTAGGTCACAGTACAGAATTCCAGAAAGTAGGAAATACCAGAGAACAATGGCGGCATTTTATCAAACATATCACTTGATTTCCAGAAAATATAAAATAATTTAACAATACAGCTCTACAGGTTCGAGGTGACATCAGTAAACCACCCTACTTGTCAAAATGCAAACCAATTCGGAGTTTACATTCTTAGTAAACATAATCTCTTAATTCGAAAAGCACATTTGATACAAATTACAGGATCCCACTAATTCCAACATTTATTTTCTGTTATCATCCATGCACTGTGGAAATAAAAATGAGTAAGACAAGGTCCTGCCCTTGAAGAGCCTGCCCGTGGCCTGGAAGGTGAGCCAAACATGAACTCTGCCCACCCGGCACTGCACTGCGATGCATGGCATGGCCAGAATCCGGACCCGGTGCCAGGGAGGGAAAGGATGGAGTAGGCCTTCTGAAGAGTTCCAGCAAGGGCTTGGAGGAAAGGCATCTGTGTCTCAAGGAGCAAGTGTGTGGCAAGACAGAGTGACTGTGGAGAGGAGGCTCCCAGGTAGAGGACACATGGGCACAGACCGGAAGTACTGCAGGAGCACAGCGTGTCCTGCGCCCATCACAGCTACAGCGTAGCTGGAGCTGACTGTAATTAATAGCAACAGCCAGTGATGTGCAGGCCTGGACTCAGTCCTACAGAAACCTGGAGGCAGTGCTCACTATGTTTTAATCATTACGTAGATTAAAGGAAGAGAGAGAAAAGAAAGCCGGCAGTAAGGTTCTGCCCCTACTATGAGCAGCTACTGTAGATTCTCAGCACATTTAAACTGTTCAGAAGCCCACACCCCCACTGCCTCCTTTTCCCAACTTTTCTGTCTCGCTCTTCCACTTCTTCTGTTTTATTTTACAATTGCTCTCCCTCTGCCCCCAAGTCTTGAACGGAGCTAGAACTGTTTTATTTTACAATTGCTCTCCCTCTGCCCCCGGAGCTAGAACTAGAAAGGCACAAGGGAAGAGCAAATGGGCAGGACAGAAAAGCACACGTATGGCGAATCAAGTCACCGTAACATAAGAGTTAAAAATTAATTCTTTCGTAGTTTTCTAAAGGTGCCCAAATCACATCAAAGTGCTGGAAAATCTCATTCAGTGTTGGAAAACTATATAGAACCCTTGTAGAAGATTCATTTTCTAAACTATTTTCCATTAAATATCAGTGTTATAAATAAATATCATAGGATTTCAGAGCCTATCATCACACAATTACGATCTGGTCAAAATTGCATTGCTTAGCTTAAAAAAAATAAGAAAAGATACAACAGGTAATTTCAAGTTCTTAGGTTCTCAGCCACTACCTAAATATGTCAATAATGAATAAACTGCCTCTGTTTCACAAAGAACATGCAGTAAAAGGTAGATGCAAACATATCCCTTTAGGGTAGATGCTAAATTTCAATTTCTCATAATAATATTATAAAGTCATTCTCTAAAAGTAATACCTTCTTGAACTTTCATTTTATAATGAAGAAAATAAATCTGTGTCATTTTATTTAACATTCGTTCTTAAGTTACAGTTATGTCAAAACAATGTTTCGAAAGAAAGAAACCTTAGTATAATCCTAAAAACATGCATTACATTTAGTAAGGTCTCCTACATTTCTAAATAAATTACATGCATGATATACAATAACCAATAAAGAATACCAGTATGAGAATTCAGGACATTTATTTTTCTGCATGGAGATTTAAATATTGTACAACTCTCTCTCTCTCTCTCTCTCACACACACACACACACACACACACACCAAACCCACAAAGCAACAATGTGAGAGACACTTAAAATAAGCCTATTTAAAATACCTACAAACGGTCCTTTTAGGCAACAAAATATTTTCAGTCCTTGACATCTTCTTACACTCACCTAGCACCACAGACGCAAGGACTTAACAGTAAACATGTACAATCTCATGCTTGAAACCTAAAGCATGCATTAAATCAAATTGGTATGTTGTGATCTACCTAAGTATGCAGTACATACTTCTTAATAACATTTTATACATTAAATTACCCTGCAGCATTTTGAAATTTTAACATTTATGCAAAACACCTTTTGAAAGACTTATGAAACAAGTTTCAAGGTTCACCTCCAGGCTGGTTTGGTTAAATGGAAAAATGGCAACAGCCCCAAGGTTCATACTGAATGAAAATGGTTTATGTGCATGTCAATCCATGTAAAAAAACACCTATGTACACGGATGGCACAAGCATTTGTGCGGTTGGAATCACCAGTGCAAATGCATGCATTTGAGGTACTTTTTTTTTTTTTTCATGGTCAGGTATAATTATGCATAGTCATTTTCTTCAAGTGATAAAAATTTCAGACCTGATCAAATGAAAAGCTATACCAAGTGTAAATATAAGAATATTTATATAGTTAATTTCAAAGTGCTATACTTCTAATGAACATCTGTTTAACATTATAGGTTTACATATTTAGTTTAAAATATTTATTTACCAACCAATACATTTTCTCATTGTGAAGAGACTGACTGGTAATTATACCTGGCCAAGTGATTTCAATAGCATACTTGAAATTCTTACAAGAACTGTAGTGAAAGAGTAAAATACTTCATTATTGCTTCATTGGACTGAGAAAGCCAAAAGGCATAGATAAACAATGCTTGATGATGACGCGGGGATACCCAGAACAGTGGTGCATGCCCTAGACGGCCTCTGAGCAGCGCACACTACACGCTCTCCACGTTATCCATGCCGTTGGCATCTACGTGGATGTCAGGCTCCCCACACATAGCTGAGGGGACAAAGCGACTAACGGTGGGGCATAAGCAGCTCTTAAGCTCTGGCAGTTCTTGCTTCAGGCGTTCCAACTGCTCCACTTGAAATATATTTGGCTGTTCAGGCATCCAATCATATATCCTATGATGAAACAAACACAAAAATCACATGTAATAGTGTGATTTTATGGTTTACTTCCGACCTGCCTCATGTAACCTTTTCATGAGAATTTGCTCACAGAATGCCTGGTACATACAAATCAGAGTTTTTGTTTTGTTCTAAAGATGAAAGTATCAGGTCTATTTTTAAAAATTTCTCTTCTCTACAGGCTTTCCAATAAGCTTTGGTATCTATGGCGCAAAAGAGCTGATTATAAAACAGGCGAACCATAAAATGCAACCTGGAGTTTACTAGTGCCCTCAGGTGAATCTTTCTGCAATGCTTTTTTACAGATGGAAAGCAGTTAAGAGCTGGAATTCATACCTGCACCAACGCCAAAGTCCCTAAAACCCACATGAGAAGACATGCACCAGGGCAGAGAGAGCTACCCTAAAGCCGTGTAGTACTGACAGACATATCCAGAGCCTCAGTGACGATGGCAGAGGAAGGCCTCTTGTGCCTCAATGTGAAAGCCAGGCAGCTATGGAAGGGACTACAAGAATACCTCTGTGACATCACTGTAGGGAAGAATTTCTGAAACAGGACTAAAACATACAGACTCTCTTTTAAGTATTCAACCTTCTGTTAATTAAAGACACATGTAAGAGAAGGAAAAATGATCCCTAGAGTCAAGACAGCAGATTGACCAGAGCATCTGACTCCATTCTCTCCACAGACCTCACTGCAATTAAAGGAATCTTTAAAAATCCATGAGCATGAGAAAAAACAGAGAGAAAGTAACAAAATTTTGGAAGTGGAAAAATGGATGGATAACAAAGAACTGAAAGTGTTTTGGTTAGCAGAACTGGAAAGGCCAAAGCACAAGCCAGTAGTGGAGAAAAAAGGCTGAGTTAAAAGGAGCCCAACTGTCTATTGAATGGGAGTGGAGGTGAGAATAAGGAGGGAGAAGTGAAGGCATTTCCCCTTGCTCTCCCTGCTGCTGGGGCTGTCCCTCACTCTCCTTAGCAAGCTGGAGAATGAAACAGGATGTCTCTTGGAATGAAAGATAACAGGACCAGATGAAGGTCTGGGCATTTACAAACTCACTCCCACGAGCAACAAAGGAATTTAGACACTATGGCCATACCAAATGAGAAACATAGAGGCACCGCTCCCTCCCTAGTCCTCCTCCTTCACTTGACTCCAGGAATCTTGGCAGTCAGACTCAACCAACCGGGTAGAATACACAGATTCTTCTATGAGGTATCTGATCAGCCAAACGGTGAAGATCTAAATTTACTGACATCAGAAGCATGTCCAAACAGGCCAATCAGATTAGAGTGAAGTTCAGACTGATAACTCCGTCTATACACTCCAAACTTCCAACAGCTTTGTAATTCCTGATCAATTTTGATAAGGAGGCAGCCAGGGATTTCCAAACATCCAAGGAACACTTCAAACACAGAAGATAGTGAAGTATACTCCAAAAAGATTTAAAAAATAAAAGTCCTTAAATGACTTCACAGGAATAGTATTTTCAAACAAGAACAGAACGTGTACACACACACACACACACACACACACACTTTATTTACATAAGTGTGTATGTATACACATATATATGTATGTATGTATAAATGTGTGTGTGTGTGTGTACTTGGAGGAACTAAAGACTATCCTTAGAAATCAAAAACTCAATAGCAGGCATGAAAAACTCAACAGAACAGTGGAAGGTAAGATAAAGATAGAACATAGTAAATGGGGCCAGCAGGTGGCATAGTGGTTAAGGCACTGGCCTCCCACATGGTCAAATGCAGTTTGAGACCCAGACAAAGCCAGGCAGCTATGGAAGGGACTACAAGAATACCTCTGTGACATCACTGTAGGGAAGAATTTCTGAAACAGGACTAAAACATACAGACTCTCTTTTAAGTATTCAACCTTCTGTTAATTAAAGACACATGTAAGAGAAGGAAAAATGATCCCTAGAGTCAAGACAGCAGATTGACCAGAGCATCTGACTCCATTCTCTCCACAGACCTCACTGCAATTAAAGGAATCTTTAAAAATCCATGAGCATGAGAAAAAACAGAGAGAAAGTAACAAAATTTTGGAAGTGGAAAAATGGATGGATAACAAAGAACTGAAAGTGTTTTGGTTAGCAGAACTGGAAAGGCCAAAGCACAAGCCAGTAGTGGAGAAAAAAGGCTGAGTTAAAAGGAGCCCAACTGTCTATTGAATGGGAGTGGAGGTGAGAATAAGGAGGGAGAAGTGAAGGCATTTCCCCTTGCTCTCCCTGCTGCTGGGGCTGTCCCTCACTCTCCTTAGCAAGCTGGAGAATGAAACAGGATGTCTCTTGGAATGAAAGATAACAGGACCAGATGAAGGTCTGGGCATTTACAAACTCACTCCCACGAGCAACAAAGGAATTTAGACACTATGGCCATACCAAATGAGAAACATAGAGGCACCGCTCCCTCCCTAGTCCTCCTCCTTCACTTGACTCCAGGAATCTTGGCAGTCAGACTCAACCAACCGGGTAGAATACACAGATTCTTCTATGAGGTATCTGATCAGCCAAACGGTGAAGATCTAAATTTACTGACATCAGAAGCATGTCCAAACAGGCCAATCAGATTAGAGTGAAGTTCAGACTGATAACTCCGTCTATACACTCCAAACTTCCAACAGCTTTGTAATTCCTGATCAATTTTGATAAGGAGGCAGCCAGGGATTTCCAAACATCCAAGGAACACTTCAAACACAGAAGATAGTGAAGTATACTCCAAAAAGATTTAAAAAATAAAAGTCCTTAAATGACTTCACAGGAATAGTATTTTCAAACAAGAACAGAACGTGTACACACACACACACACACACACACACACACACACACTTTATTTACATAAGTGTGTATGTATACACATATATATGTATGTATGTATAAATGTGTGTGTGTGTGTGTACTTGGAGGAACTAAAGACTATCCTTAGAAATCAAAAACTCAATAGCAGGCATGAAAAACTCAACAGAACAGTGGAAGGTAAGATAAAGATAGAACATAGTAAATGGGGCCAGCAGGTGGCATAGTGGTTAAGGCACTGGCCTCCCACATGGTCAAATGCAGTTTGAGACCCAGACCTGGTGGCTTAAAACTCATGCTGGGTCCAGGTGAATGCATGCTTAAAATCCCAAGAAAAGAACAGAGAAGAGATTGTGGTGTGGCCATATCCCCTGGGGAGGGCAGGGGATTTTTCACTTTGTCTCTTTCTGGTGAGTGCATGTACTCTATAGCAAAAAAAAAAAAAAAAAAAAAAAGGATAAGAGTCTAGTCCAAAGAACATTATGATACAAGCAAAAAGATTTCTATAAAGAAAAAAAATCCAAAAATAAAAAAAGAGAGAGAGAGAGAGAAAGAAAAAAATAAACTTGATAAAAATCCCCACACCCTTCTCTTTTGTAGACATTGCTGGAGCAGCAGCAGCCAAAATGAGGTTGAATCCTTTTGTGACTTCTGACTGAAGCAAGAGCCATGAAAGGCATTCCAATGCACCCTCCCACATCCACAGAAAGAGTCTGTCTTCTCTTCCCAAAGGGCTGAGGCAGAAAAGTACAATGATCGATCCATGCCCATCTGAACGAGGACACTATAAAGTCTCAAACTGGCAAAGTAGTCCACGTTTACAGGAAGAACTATGTCATCTGCACCAAGCAGGTGCAGCAGGAAAGGCTAATGGCACAACTGTCCATGTGTGTATTCACACCAGCAAGGTGGTCATCACTAGGCTAAAACTAGACAAAGACTGTAAAAAGATCCTTGAACGGAAAGCCAAGTCTCGCCAGGTAGGAAAGGGAAAAGGCAGATATAAAAAAGAAACAAATGAGAAGATGCAGGAGTAAAATAATCTTATACACAAACTTTTATTAAAAATGGATAAAATTAAACCAAAAAAGTTCCCCCGCTGTTTAAGGACATGTATTCACAGACTGCAAGGGCCCAGTGCAACAGGTAAAAGCAGACTTGGAACAAGACCTTCCTCTACGGAACTGCAGGGCACCGGAGGCAAAATGAAGCCTCCCCCCTCCCCCCCATACACAATTATAGACATATACATTTGTGCGTACTGGGTTGTAATATAAAATGTGTCGAGATCAAAAAAGTTTGCCTTGGAGAAACCTAACACAAGTGTTCTGGGAGACCTGGTCAGAAATGTTCACAGCAGTCTTCTCTCTCATAGCAAAAAGCTGACAACAACCTAAATGTTCTTAAATAGTCTTAAATAGGAGAATCAATGGTAACAGACACATACAACGGAAGACCACATGAGCACAAAAATAATTTACATTTTATGCAACAATATGGAGTAATTTAAAGAACAGAATAACGACAAGGTTTTAAACTATGTAAATCTAAACGATATATTATTTAGGAATAGAAATAAGATTAAAACTATTTTTTTGGAGAGGTTTTCACTATAGGGCACGTGCGCTCACCAGACAGACAGAGAGAGACAGAGAGACAGAAAGCGAGAAATCACCCCCCAGGGGGGATGGTCACGCCGCAATCCCTTCACCTCCATTCTCCTCTCGGGATCTTGGGCATGCATGCACACGCGCCTGGCGTGAGTTTTAAGCCACCAGGTCTGGGACGCGAACCATGGTCAACTACATGGGAGTCCAGCGACATAGTCATTACGCTTACTGCTGGTTCCCAAAACATTTTAATATGAATAATTTGACAATTAGTTATGTCTGAGGGAGGAGATAAGGAAATGGGATTAAGCAGACACAAACTAGGACTTCAAAACTAATGGCAATGTTCTTTAAAAATGGTGTCTGAGCCAACAGATGACATGGAGGTTAAGGCACTGGATCCCACAGAGCCAACTGCACAGTTCGAGTCCCAGGCCTAGTGACTTGAAATAAAACACCTTAAGAGAAGGATAGAAAAGAAGGGACTGTGGCATAGCCAATCCTCCAGAGAACTATTTTCTCACTTTTCTTCTCTGTCTCTGGCAAGCGTGCACCCTATGGTAAAAATTTAAATAAAATAAAATGTCTGTCTGTTGCCACTTGGTATGGGACTCGAATCCTGGCTGGCCACATGGGAATCCAGTGACTTGCCCGAGTTATTCTATGAAGCTGCTATTATCTTGATAACAAAATTAGACCATAACCATTGGAGAAAGCTAAATAAAAGCTAAATAATAATGACTATCTTAGCCTTTATTATAATTTTTAAGAACGATTTTTGCTATAGGGTGTGGTATAAAGGATCTCATTTTACCACAGACCAAATATTCCTTACAAGAGTTATACTGCAGGAGGTCAGGAGAAGAACAGTAGGTAGAAACAACTCAGCGGGCATCATACAACTGCTGGAATTTTTTATTTTGCAAAGCAAGTGGGTAGAATGAAAGCAAGAATAATGTTCTTGACATACCAGTGTGCAGTAGAAGGTGCAGACCACTCCTGTGGCCACCACTGCGCCCCACAGATCAAATCCTGTGACTGTAGAAGAAGAGAGAATGAATGCATGTACAACTTAGAAGGGGGAGAGTGTGAGGAAAGACATTAAGGAGAAAAATAGAGAGGCCAGACATTATGGGACACAGAAATGGATTATTATCTGTTGACAAATATGTGTATAATATCCTCAGCTGAACTGGTGTGAAGTATATTGACATTGGGAAAATTCACTTTACAAAGTAAGTGATGTATAGCAATTGAATGTATAAAAGAAATTAAAGGGGACGGCAGATGACATGGTGGTTAAGGGCGCTGGCCTCCCACATGGCTGACCATGGTTCAAGTCCTGGACCTGGCAGCTTGCTTTCTCACTGTCTCTCTCTTTCTCTTCTTCTCTGGTCAAATTAAAATAAATAAAGTTAAATAAAACAATTTTTCAAAATGCCTCAAAGGCTCCAAATCACTAATTATTTGAAATCTTGCATAAAACATCTAAATTTGATAATGAAGAAATGATGAAGGCAATGTGGGATGCAGTGGTATCTCAGTGCTCTGAGATGCTGAAAGCACTGAGAAGACCGAGGTTTGTTCCTGGGTCAAGCTGCAGTTGATGCGCATGGGTGTGCCCGTGATCCCAGCTGGCTGGAACAGGTGAAGGATGGGGGTGGGGGAGTTTTGAGACAGTGTCAAGGCATGGAACCCTATTACGAGCACTTATCTTTCTTTTTCTCTCTTTCTCATAAAATAAATAGAACTTTTTGAAAACAACATAGGCAGGGCAACCCTGCCACTCAATAGTTAAGGGAGTCAGATTCTACATCGTTGACCAGGGTTCAAATCCCAGCCCCAACAACTTGAAAAACACACAAGGTGCATATACATGTGCCCCAAATATTCCTAAGACAGAAAAATGGATATAAGAGGATTGTGGCATAACCACATCCCATAACCATATCCCATTATAAGGGGTGCTTCTCTCTAGCAAATACATGTACCCTCTAACAATTAAAACAAAACAAAACAAAACAGAAACAGAAACAGAAAATGGCATGGGCACATTATTTAGAAATACAGAGGTAAGTATTTAGAAGAAACAGCTAGTGGCAGGGGTGGTGGGCAGAGACAGGGACTTGACCAGGGACAATGGACAGAACAGACACAAGGGACTGATGTTTTTACTATAAATCTTATAGAACTATTAGACTATTTAAACTACTGGGTCATCAGTAAAGTCATCATGCATCTTTGCATAGAAAAGCATGACATGACTTTCCCAACAACCCAATATATACTGTAATTTTGGGACTGAAAGTTAAAAAGCAAAAAATCACTTTTGGAGGTAAAATTCACTTCTAACATAATCGACATTACCTCCCATCAGACCCATGTAAGAACACATTGTCTAGCTACCTCCTTAAAGTCCTCCACACCTTCACCAGTCTTGCCTTGATTCATGTTTTTGTCTCTGCCTAAAGTGCAAATCCTGTCAAAGCAAATTTAACCATCCCATGCCAATTCTTCTCCTGTAAAGCTCGAAGTCAAGAATTTTCTTTAGCACCTATCATATCTTCCTGTTCTCCATGACATGTCAGTATCTCGCTCCAACCAAGTAAGACCCCAAGATGAAGGATATGCCTAAAACCTGAACACCCTACAAAGCTATATGTGGTATAATGGTATCTCACAATACCTTTTATTACCTGAAAATATTTGCAATCACTCCTTCTTCCTAAAAATAAATAAATAAATCCTTCAAAAATGTGCTAAAGTCAACACTTGAGTTGTTAATGAGTTGTTATGAGTCATGCTGCTTCATGCAAAATTAACCGAATATTGGGTCATCAGAAAAATCATGATGCATTTTTGTATAGAAAAATACATCATGACTTTCACTGGGAAAGTATTTTCTATACAAAAATGCATCATGACTTTCCCAATGACCCAATGGTTTAAAAGGCAGGCAGGCAAGAATTATTGGGCTGTAATTTTAAAACCAGACATAATTTAAGACAAATGGAGCTATGGAGTAAATCCAAGGGAGGTATGTTTTAAAACAGGCTTGATCTATACATGGATATAAAACTGTAGGTCCCTGGAATGCTCTGAGTTGGAGATGTATAAATATTGGAATAAAAGGAAAATCCACAAAATGGAATGAGATTTCCAAGAGATCTTGGAAGGGACAGAATGTTGGTAGGAACCAAAAAGAGATCTGGGGGCAGGCAGCCACCTTTACCCCCAAGGTGATTTGGCACACACCTGGGTTAGAGTCCAGTCATTTAAGTTATTAACAAGCTTCCCAAACAATTCTAGTGCAATTCAGAGTTTGAAAACTCCCAACGACAAATGACAAAATAAACTTCAGGGAGAACTATAGAATTTTAACTTAAGTAGATGTAATTTTATTTACAATTTTATAAAATAAAACTATACTTTTTCTAACATTCCATGAAAATTTTTCATAAAAAACAAATACCTATCATAAATCAGACCATTGACTCCAAATTCCTTCAATTTCCTTCGGTTTTCAGGATCATTGGTATCATCACCCCAGCAGAATATGACTAGTCCCTTAGCTTTTGCCTCTTGAATATAGGATGGGTTTCTCAGCAGGTCTTCAGTGTGTGCATTTATACCCTAAAACAAGAAAACCCAGTTGTTTGTGAAAAAGTAATCAATGAACTGCAATTGTTAATGCCCTTACTACTCTACATTAGTGTTCTCTAAAGTGGAACAGGCAGGGAAAGACACTGTTAGAACTGTCTTATAATTTTTAAAATCTTATTCTTTTCAATGGGTACATACATGCACATACATTCATACATGCACATATTCATAATATATTAGTTATTGGGTTATTGGAAAAGTTATGATGCATTTTTACATTAAAAAAAAAAACCAAAAAATTAGTCGCGAAATGAACATAGATACTGAATGTGTGGGCAAAACCTTTCGATGATGGAATGCTATATATAAAACAAGTTTACAGCCTAACCATTTTAAATGTTTCATAAAACCCACTCAGAAAACTAAACGACAAAACGTGGCCCAGCTGTGGTGGCACAGGTGCCACTGCAATGCTGCCTGATGTGAAGGCCCCTGGAACGTCCAGGATTGGATTCTGAACCAACCTGGACACACTGGGCATGGTGGTACACGCCTGTAACCCTGGCTAGCAGGGAGGCTGGGGTGGAGGACTACAGCATGGTGAGCTCCTATTAAAGGACCTATCTCTATCTCATTCTTATTGGAAAAAAAAAATTCATTTTATTAATTAAAATAAACTAAGCTAAAAAACTTAATGTGGGTCTGCAAGAAAATTTTTACTTATTTTCATTTAACTTTTTTATTCAGTGATTTAATATCCTCTTTAAGTAGAGTTATTTGCTTACAACAGTCAAAACTTTGGCCACTCAGGACCAGCAGTTAGTGTAATGGCTATGTTGCAGCTATGTCTCTGGACTCCCATGTAATCGACCACAGTTTTAGTCCCGGATCCGGTGGCTTAAACTCACGCCAGGCGCATGTGTGTGCGTGCCTAAGATCCCAAGAGGAGAATGGAGGAGAAGGGATTGCAGCGTGGCTATCCCCACTGGAGAGTGATTTCTCACTTTCTGTCTCTCTCTGTCTTTCTGGCAAGCACACGCACCCTATAGCAAAAATCTCTTAAAAAAAAAACCAAAAAACTTTGGCCACTAGACATGTAAAGTAATATAAGATCTATTTACTGCTGCTCTAAAACAAAAACAAAAGAAAATTTAGAAAGCAAAACTGAAACATAACTTACCAGTAGATTTTCAAACTGTGCAAAGCTCATTGCAATAGGGGTTGTCCGAGATCTGAGGTCCATAAGTTCAGGGTAAATATCAGATTTTCCTTGAGTCAAAAATAATATGGGATATTTGTTCTGCTTTTGCCGAACCCTGAAAAAGACAATTTAAAAAATACTATGTATCGGAGAGAGAACTGTAGTCCTCTATTTTGAAATGTTAGAAAATACTAATACTAAAAGTATAAAGAAAGTAAACAAAAGCATAATCCTATTACTGAAATAATGTTAAAAATGCATTTTCTTTCTATCAAAAAATAAAAAAATAAAAATCTGATGACGCACAGCCCTATATCCTAATGATTAAGGGAGCTATTAGGTCATTGAGAAAGTCATATTTTTCTATGCTTTTCTATGCAAAAATGGGTCATGACTTTCCCGATGACCCAATACACCTCACAAAGCCAACTGTAGTCCCAATCCCAGCCCAGTGGCTTGAAAAACATGCCAAGTGCATGTGTATACATGCCCCAGATCCCAACAATGGGATGGAGAAATAGAGAAGAGACTGCAGCATGTCCCAAATCCCCTCCATCTGTCTCTCTGCTTGGTGAATAGATGTGCTTGCTGGCAAAAATATTAAGAAAAAAAAAATTTACAGGCAAGGGCTAAAATGGTCTCAGAAATGTGCAATGAGCAAATTCTTAAGGGCTTCCAATCTGGGGAGAGGCCATGACATGGCTATGAAATGAAGCCAGGGTGTGAGGCTTTATAACTTAGTAGGTACGGGTTTCACAGGAGAGGAAAGCGCCCCACAAAACAGTAACAAAGGGGAAATGAGACTATATACAGCCTCACTGACAGAACAAATCAAGGGAAATCTGGACAAACTTCCCGTTTCCAGCTACGGCTTTTGCCCTAAGTTCTAGAAACATTCTTAAAAGCAAAGGAGAAAACATCGAGTATTACTCACATTGTGCAGATGTCAGCATCAAATGAAGAAAACACTATTCTCCTCTTTCCAGAGTTTTCTAGGACAGTTTTTAAAATTATATCCAAAAACAAATTCATATCAAAATATGTTGATAAGTTACCATCCCACATTCCATCCTATGTGAAGGAAAACGAAAAAGAAAGCGTTACATACCCTAAAATCAAAGGGGTAGGTAAAACTCTTGAAAGCATCTGGAGCTCGACTTTTATATTACAGATGATGAAACCAAAGACCTAAAAAAATTAAGTGATTCATCCAAGACCACACAGCTTTTTAGTGGTGGCAAAGTGATTATAATCACATATGCTCACATAACAGGGCCAGCAGGTGGTGTGGTGGTTGAGGTGCTGGACTCCAACATGACTGACTGCTGTTTGAGTCCTGGACCCCATGGATTGAAAATCATGCCAGGTTATGTGTGTGTATGTGTGTGTGTGTGTGTGTGTGTGTGTGTGTGTGTGTGTGTGCACGCGCGCGCGTGCCCCAAGCCCCACAGAGAATGGAAGAGAAGGAATTGTGGCATGGCCCTTCCCTCCGGGGAGTGATCTTTCACTTTCCCTCTCTCTGTATCTGTCTCTCTCTCTCTCTCTCTCTGGTAAATGCACATGACCTTTAAAAAAATAAATAAATAAAATAAAAAATAAAAGTGATTAACTACACCATCAATAGACTTTCTCTTTAAGTTAGCAAAATGAAAGCTGAAACTCTAGAAATTTACAGTGTGCTGTGACTTTAAAATATTTGGATATAATACTGAAAACTTCAGGGTACAACTCTGCAAATACATTACAAAAAAGTCCTTATAATTACAAATTACTAGTTAAAATTTCATTGCTTACATCTTAGGCATATTGAGAAACTCTGAAAAGTAACTAAAATAATTCAATAATTATGACTAAGACACAAAGAGTCAGTTCCAGACATTCAAATGTTAGGTGTTAAATTTGTCCCAACCACCTCCGGAATACTGTTCCAACTGCATAACTGTGATACCTGAACTGACTGTTTCCAATATTTCACTCCACCCTATGGTAACGCTCTTACCACACAGCCTATCCATTCATACATATCCCCCTCTGATATAATCAGTAGCTAGGTATTTACAGTTTTCCCTGACATGCTTAGAATATTCGGTCTAGAGAAACAGGGCCTCATTCTTTGTCCACTGCTTGTCTCCATCACTCAAAAAATGTGTGCCCTGGCTCAGACCCAGTGATACAGGCAGTAGGGGCCACTGAGTGATATTGGAACCACATGGGAGGTCTGGGTTTGGATCCCAGGTGCTCCTGTAACACAACAGAAAACTGCTTAGGAAAGTATTTAAAACATGCTTAAGGGGAGTTAAGAAAATACAAACTGCATCAGAGTCTTACAACTGTCCACTGCATGAGTAGACAATGACAGAAGCCATTCACGTTAATGTGCACAAGACACGCATATAAACTGAAATTCCCACGATAATATAGCCATCATTAATTTTAAGTACTCATATATCACTATAAGTGTACGACATGCTATATTTATTAGGTCCAATAAGGGGCTGGCAGGTGGTGTGGTGGTTAAGGGTGCTGGATTCCCACATGGCCAACTATGGTTCGAATCCTGGACCTGGTGGCTTCCTTTCTCGCTTTCCCTTTCTCTCTCTCTCTGTCTGTCTGGTCAAATTGAAAAATAATAACAACAAATGGAATTAAGTACATAAATGATTCTTTAAAAAAAAAATAAACAAAAGGTCCAATAAGGACCATGCTTCCTGGAAGAAGTCACAGTAAGATTTCAGTTTCACTTATTCTATTAAAGCAAAAAGAGTCAGGGAGAAAAAAAGAATCTCTAAACAGGGGTAGGGAGGAAAGAATGTGTTACATAGAGAATGACTTACCCTTTGTTGACAGATCCATTTTATTTCTATGTTAAATCCTACATCTTCTGGCAAAGACTCTAAAACCTGAAGTTTTGTTTGTTGATCGCCAATTTTGATTAGTTGGTGAGATAAATGGTAGAATAAAAAGAAATTATTTTAAAAAAACAATTAAAATATATCACTAGTAAGGATAAAATGCTTGGTGTTTTGGTTTTTTTTAAGCATAAACCACTATCTTTTCTCATACTCAAACTGACATCAGGCTGATGATTATTACATTTAATAAGAAAGTCAAAAAGCTTTAACAGCAAGGGCGGCATCCTCAGGCAACATATGTGATAGCTGACAGTTCACCACCACCACTCCTTGACCTAACGTCCTTCCCACCATTACTACTGAACAGCCACAGCAAGCTATAATAAGACAGGCAACATAATAAATTCAAGAAGGCATCTGTCATGTTTCCTAAATTGCATTCAGGTGTAACAATCTACTTTCCTAAGATATGAGTATGTAAAAAGCCATCTTTTTTAGCTTGCTTTGAAGGTGAAGATGCTAAAAAAAAAATAGTATTATGTGGATAACTACCCCCCAAGAAAAGATGTTAACCCTGAATGAAAACCTCAGTATAATCTTTTATTTGTCAAAGGTATTCTTGGGACCAACAGTTAGCGTAATGGCTATGTCGCTGGACTCCCACATAGTTGATCATGGTTGGAGTCCCGGACTCGGCGGCTTAAAACTCACGCCAGGCATATGTGCGTATATGCCCAAGATCCAGAGAGGAGAATGGAGGAGAAGGGATTGCGGCATGGCCATCCCCCTTGGGGGGTGATTTCTCGCTTTCTGTCTCTCTATCTCTGTCTGTCTGGCGAGCGCAAGTGCCCTATAGCAAAAAAAAAAAAAGGTATTCCTGTGTGAAATGAGTCCTGTTTTTAAAATCTTCAGACTATTTTTTAATTATATTTTACAGGGTGAGTTATTAAAATTTGTGTATCATTTTAATAAGGCTACTTACTTTTTTTTTTAATAGAGATTTTTGCTATAAAGTGTGTGTGCTCGCTAGAGAGTCAGAGAGACAGAAAGCAAGCTTCTCCTTCAATTTTCCTCTCAGGATTTTGGGCACGCACACACACACATATCTGGTGTGAGTTTAAAGCTACCGGGTCCGGGACTTGAACCACTGTCAATTATGTGGGAGTCCAGCAGTGTAACCATTACGCAATCTGCTGTTCCCAAGGGTACTTATTTTCTTTGGTTGAAAAACTTTTCTGTCGGGGCCAGCAGATGGCATGGTGGTTAAGATGCTGGAATTCCTACATGAGCTACCATGTTTCAAGTCCTGGACCCGGTGGCTTGCTTTCTAACTCTCCACTGTTTCTTGCAAAATTCATGTTGAATAAATAGTTCTTAAAAAAAAAAAAAATCAAAAACAAAAAAAAACCATTTTCTGTCTAAAAGCTACTGAACAATTTTAAATAGAGACACGTGTTGCTTAATGACAGGGAAACGCATCATTAGGTGAATGCACTGTTCTGCGAAGCTCATAGTGTGCCCTTACACAAACCGGGATGGATAGCCTCCTGCACACCCAGGCCACATGGCACAGCCTATTACGATCTTCTGGAATCGTCACAGCCATTGTCTTTGACCAAAACTTTGTATGTGGTGCAAGACTGCATTGTAACAATGCCTCTTCCACCATCACATCTTCTCCCCACCCATTCTCTGTGCCCTCTCCTTCCTGCTCATACACAAAATATGAGAATTTGCTATTCTTACCAAATTAACCCTTTGTCATGGGAATTTTATTCATTTGAGCAGATAAGAACTCTTAAAAAATGGTGCTCCCAAGAACGTACCTTCACCCTACAAGCACCAATGGTGATATATTTATGTTAGGGTTTTTGACAGTCTTTTTATTGACCATTTCAGAGACCAAATTAAACATTTCAGACATAACAGAGTTAATGAGATAACCATGCTCAAGTTTTCCTTAAGAAACTTACCATTTTAAGAGAAGGAAAGGGTTGATTTTCAGAAAACGAGTTTTCCTCCGCAACCAAAGATTCTGAAATTTTAAATGATAAAACTCAGTAAATAAAACACCACTACTTTACTAAGATCTTTTCCTAAATCCCTATGACAAAACTAAGCAGGAAGACAGGGTGAGGGTTGGCGGTGAACAGGTGTACAAGGACACACTGAAATAACTGAGATTCTTTTATACATAATATTTTTGAAGGCTCTTGTACTTATTATATTTCAGCTTAAAAACCCCACTTTCTAGGCCAGATCCACAGACTAGTGGATAAGGGAGCTGGATCCAACACAGCCAACCACAGTTTGAATCCTAGCCCAGGCAGCTTGGAAAACATGTTAGGGGATGTTAAATTGGTACCCAAAATCCCGACAGGAAAGAGAAATGGAGAAAAGAGGATTGTAGCATGGAGGGGCACTTTCTCTTCTTTCCTTCTCCCTCTTGTCTCTCTCTGGTAAGCACACAAGCCCTCTGGCAATTAAAAAAAGGCATCATTTTAGGATGGGCAGGTAACGTGGTGGTTAAGATGCTAGACTCCCATGTAGCTGAATGCAGTTTTAATCCTGGCCTTAGTAGCTTGCTTTTTCACTCTCTCTCTCTCTCTGGCCAAATTAATAATAATAATAATAACAATAATAGTAATAATATACAGTTCTCTTTTAAAAAAGGAATCATTTCTAAATAAGTTGTCTTTCATGAAGACTAGTTTGCAACAAAGTGTGAATCTTCTGTTTCTTTCGATTATCTTCTTACAAAAATTGTAATATTACTCTTTTAAAAGTAGACATAGCAGTAGCTTATTACTTCTCAACAGAATTAAGGTGTCATTTGCTAAGATTTTTGAAATATCAAAATCTGCTCAAAAATTAGAAATTAAGGAAACACACAGCTGTTTTATTCTAGTAACCATTATCATTTAATGCAAAATATATCTTAAGAGATACAGAAAAAAAATTCTTCGAAAATAGAAAAATACTTAAGGTTTTCTTTCTAAAAAGTAAACAAACAAAACCAAACTGTATAAAAAAACAAGTAAAAAAACAAGTAAAATTAATTAAAGGTAAAATTCATTTTCTTATAAGCAGTCACAGAATAATACAGTCACATTAATGATCTAGGGATAATTTCTGAAGTCTCAAACATTTCAAAATTTCTTCATAAGAGTGTTCAAATTGTAGTCATGACATATTTTTCTGTTTTTCTATGCAAAATGAGTCATGATTTTTCTAAAAAAATTTTCTCCAGCCATATCTATTGAGTACCCACAAAATGCAGAGCAGTATAAAAGTGCTGGGAATATAAAAATATTTTCCTGCCCTTGAGAGGCCTCAATTCTAGTTAAAGAGATAGAATGTATACAAAACTAAAGGTTTTTTTTTTTTTTTTTTGGAGAGGTTTTTTGCTATAGGGTGCGTGCACTTGCCAGATAGACAGAGAGAGACATAGAGACAGAAAGCAAGAAATCACCCCCCAGGGGGGATGGTCACACCGCAACCCCTTCTCCTCCATTCTCCTCTCAGGATCTTGGGCACGCACGCACATGCGCCCGGCTTGAGTTTTAAGCCACCAGGTCCAGGACACGAACCACGGTTGACTACGTGGGAGTCCAGCAACATAGCCATTACGCTAACTGCTGGTTCCCAAAACTAAAGGGTTTAAAGGACCACTCAGTGGTGTGGTTTAAGGTGCAAGATACCATATGGCTGACTCTACAGTTCAAATCCCAGACCCAGCCTATTGAAAGACACAGTGTATATGTGTGCACACCCGAAATCCTGAGAGGAGAATGCAGTACGGTCATCTCCCCAGGGGATGCTTTCTCTGTCTGTAACTTTCTTAAGCAAACATTATGCACCCTATAGTTTTTTTAAAGTTTTTTTTAGATTAATTAATTTTATTTATTATTATTTTTCTCATTTGCTACAGGGCATGAGTGTTCACCAGAGAGAGACAAAGTGGGAAAGCAAGCTGCCAGGTCAAGGACTTGAATTGCTGTGGGGCATGTGAGAGTCTAGTGCCTTAACCATCAAGTCACCTGCTGGGCCCCCAAAAAGGGTTTTTTTTTTTAGAAGGATGCAGTGAGGCTTAAATGAATGGTATAAACTGTTAAAGCTCCAAAGGAGAGGAAAGCCATATGTAAGGGACATAGCAGGTAGGACGAGGTGTGAGGAAACTGAGGCACAGAGTAATTAAAGTCACCTGCCCACGGGCATAACTGGCAAACTGACAGAGCTGGTTCAAACTCCTGTTCTGGAGCCAGATTCTATACCTGAGCTACTCAATACTCTGAACTGGTTAAAAGGCTTAGAAAGATCAATAGCACAAAACCGTAACGGTCTTTGATTACTAAGCTAAGAAAAGTAATAAGATGGTTGCTATACATGACATCAGTTGAAAACTATATAACTAAGATTAAATGAAGGTGGAAATAGTTAATACAAAAGAGTATTTCCATACTGTACCTTTCCGATCTTTAGATTTTAGCGCAGTCACATGAGCGAGCTAGAAAACACACACACAGAGCCATCAGAAAACAGTCTAGGTTATGAAGAGATGATTAACAAAACTATAACCTGAAAAGCGAGTCAGTTAGAAAAGACCATTACCAGTGAAATAAGAATAAGCACCGACTACTGTATATGTATATTTTATAAGATCATGCACATAAGATCATGATCGAATACCCAAGTAGGGAAAAATATAAAAAATTGGTAAGTTAGGAAACTGTTTATCTTGACCATTTATTTATTGAGGCATCTAACGGAAACAGAAAGAGCAGCCGTGTAGAACTTCATGGTATAACAAAATATACAAAAGCCCTAGAAATAAAATGTACGAAAACCAATGACCACATAAAAGGCCTATTGTAAAACAGTGACAGCTATATACAGAAGGGCTAAGATTGTGGATGAGAAGGGTTAGCTCCTAAGGCCCCTCATGAACGTAAAAACCAATGGAGTCTACACAAACCGTCAGAGGACAGACGGATCGGAACAACTCATTCATTTTCCTTTAGAAAACTAAACCATAAGCTCCATGTGTTGAATATACAGTCATCCTTGTGTGCAAAGAGAACTGTACATAGACAAGTACAGGTGGTCCTGACACTAAAGTATTGTTTACGTTTTAGGGTATTAGTACTACCTTTAATAACTGGAGTTGGTCAAATGTTAGCTCCTTCACTGGAATTTCAAATAATTCAACTGGATCAGCATCAAATTTCTAAAAAAAAAAAAAAAAATTAAAAAAAAAAAAAGAACATAGGTTTAATTTAAATAGAAAGATGGGCCTGGAATTGTTACCAACACTAGACAGGCCTATCATGTCAGTTTACTGGACAATGAGAACAACGCCTAGGTAGTCACAGCCACGTCCCTGCTCTTAATGCAGGTGGGGAGTGCCTGGAGGAAGAAGCCAGCTAGGAGGAAGCTGTGGCACTGAGGACAGCATGAAGTCGGTAATCGCATCCCCTATTTTCTGCCATGCTGCATACATTTTATTAACACCCATCTATGCTATATGACCAGGAAATCAACATGCAAGTACTATAAAGGATTAATTTCTGTCAATACATTTCTAAACTTTTTTAAGTCTTTTAAACTTGTTTGGTTAAAAAGAGCAGCCACACAGGCCCAGTGCAGTGGTACACAGTGCCGCCACTCAGAAGCTGGAAGGAGCATGAGGCCTAGGGTTTGGTTCCTGGGCTGATGTGAACACACCGGGCATGGTGACACGCCCCTGTAATCCTAGCTAATTGGGAGGCTCAGCAGCAGGAACAACAGGGCAAGATTCTATCAGAAATATCTATCTGTCTCCTTCCATTTCCCTCTTTTCTCTCCCCTCTATCCCATAAAAGAGAAAAAAAAAATAGTAGCTACACAAATTATCATGAAAAAAACTGTCTGATTAGTTATCATCAAGAATACACAATGATCTCTCATGTTTCTTTCACAAGTGAATCTGTTTTACTAGGTTTTAATGCCATATAGGATAATCAAATGTCACGGTGGAAATGAATGAAGGTACCACCAATAAATGATCTGCCCAGACAGGTGATGACACAGTAGTAATGCAACTGGACCCATATAGGAAAGGTCCTAGGTTCACCTCCCAAGACCTCCCTGAATATTGGTCATGTGTATGCCTACAATCAGGGCTGCCTGAGACTGGCAGACAGTCTGAAGAACCTGCTGGGAGTGCCTGTCCTTCTGTCTCTGATAGGAAAAAGAGATGAATAAACCTTTTTCTTTTTCAAATTTGGCAGAGGATGTATGCACTCGCCAGAGAGAAAGAGGGAAATTGAGAAAGCACCCCCACAGGAGATGGCCACTCCACAATCCCTTCTCCTAGATCCCTCCCTCTAGTTGGGATTTTGGGCAGACACACATGCCCCTTCACCGAGGCCCTTCACCAGCTGACTCCACACCATTTTGCTAATTTTCCACCGTGGCTCTTCCTGCATTAGTCGAATCATACGAACCCATTAATTTGAAAACAAGCTTGAAGCAGAAATGGGTGGGAGCTTAGGACACAAACATTATGACACCCTCTCCTCCCACCTCTATATATGAACAGTGGTGGACCGATACAGAAATGACTGGAATACTTCATTAGTAACATAAAAAAGCAAATCCAGCATTACAGTGACCCTGCTCTAGGCATTCAATATTGGTTTCTTCTCATTCTCTCAGTGGTGTAATTCATCAAGAAAATAAATCGACCAATTCTATTAAATAATTTAAAATCAAACAATCTTCCCAGTTTCTAACCTAACAATAAATTGAAGACATTTCAACTTACCTTTTTCATAGTCAGACAACAGGTGAGATCATGATATACCACAGGCACGAAGTCCTTTGAAAGGTGTACATCAAATTCTACAAAGGCTGCACCCTGACAGAAGTAAAGGAAACAAGCATTTGAAAAACATCTGATGCACAATATATCTAAAACTAGAGGACATAAGAAATTTACAGTTAGCTATGACATTATAGACCTGTACACCAAAACAGAAAATCTCCTCACTGATTATTTGATGCTACAAACTTTTTCTAAAAGATCATTTCTTTTCTTACAACAATTTTTTTTCTCTTTTGCTAAAGCACAACTTTCCTAGCAAAAACATGGGCAACAATCCACCTGAAAACACCCAGGGGCACCTCAGCAGCAGTGAGAGAGCCTTCACAGGGTCATCTCTATACTGCTATTAGCAGCAGTGGAACCGACAGGAGCCTAAAGCACAGAGCGTCTTCGCCTTGCTGCTCCTGCATACCGGAATTGGACAGCTGAACTTCAAAGATGAGAAGAATAAGCTGCAGATGGGGCCAGCAGATGGCGTAATGGTTACATCTCTGGACTCTCACATTGTCAGCTGCGGTTCAAGTCCTGAACCCAGTGGCTTCCAACTCATACTGGGTGTGAGTGTATGTGTGCCCAAAATCCTGACAGGAGAATAGAGGAGAACTGTTGAATGGCCCTTCCCCCTGGGCGCTGATTTCTCACTTTCCCTATCATTGTGTGAGCACACACACACACACACACACACACACGAAGGCAAAAATGTCTTAAAAAAGAAAGAATAAGCTGCAGAGCCTCTTAGCTCTATCCCTTGGTACAAGTAAGCAGTACTCTTTACAGCTTTTCTTACCAAGAGAGCAGAGTACAGAGGAAGCTACGACTGCTGCTCAACAGAAAGAGAAAATAGGGGCAGGCAAAAGGAAGGACGCATGTGCCAAACTGCCTGACGGAAGCCTAAATATATGAGCCAGGACAGGAATAACAGCTAAAGATGTATTTTGAACAGTCAGATCTATTCTGCCCTATGAATTAATCCAAATAAAGATTGTAAACATAACCTGGCATATAAATGTGTACATCTACTAAAATGAAGCAAGCGAGATCTGAGAATTCTGTCATGTCACGAACTGTGACCCACTGAAGCATGCAACCAGGATGGAGAGATGCGTTTCCACCCCAACACTGGCTCTAGGTCACAAGAGGATGCTCAGCTTATGAGCACATGGGGACCACAGCCATTCCGAAGGAGCTGAGAGGCTTGCTATACAGCCTGCCTCCTGCTTAACAAACAGGAAACAGCTCCTTCTCTTGTTTTATACAAGAGATTACCACAAACCACTTCTACTAGAGAGGACAAACCCTAATCCATAAGTAGTTTTAACTAGTAAAACACTGTAAGTTGTAGCTTTCTAGTTTGAATGTTTCATTTTACATAGTCATCATCCTTTTAGAAGATAGTTTTACTAAGAGATTAAACTTAGTCCCGAAACGCATGTGTGGGCTTTAAAAAATAAGCCAATAATAAACCAAAATATCTTCGACGATATGTTACAAACATTAAGCCAATAAGCTATTAATAATTAAAATAAGACATTAAAAATGTGATCATGAGTTATAAAGGAATTCCTCAGAAAGTGAAATACGGCAGCTCATGAAATCCTCCTTCAAAAAGTAGAGAAAGACCAGCAGATGTTGTAATGGTTACGTCACTGGACTCTCATATTGCCGACCATGGTTCAAGCACTGGACCCAGAGGTCTGAAACTCAAGGCAGGCGCGTGCGTGTGTGTGTGTGCCCAAAAGCCAGAAAGGAGAATGGAGAAGGGACTGAGGAATGGCCATCCCCCTTGGGGGTGATTTCTCGCCTTTTGCTTCTCTATCCCTCTCTGTCTCTCTGGTGAGTGCATATACCCTAGAGCAAAAATCTCTCTCAATAAATAAATAAATAAATAAATAAAAAGTACGAAGAATCTGAAAATTCTGTAAGTGGGCCATCACATGTTTACAGCTCTTGAAACGTTTAATTATTAGTTAACTACGATAAACTTACACTGCTTTGAAATGCATAGAAATGGATATTATGAAAAAATCCATGTATAGATTTCAAAATTTTTGCATCAAAATCAACTCACACCTCAATTCCATTTTCCCACTAACTTTTGGAAGTATTCTTGTACTTAGACTGATATCCTTCTTTCTGCACAAAGACAAACTATATTAATATTTTTAAACATTGAGATAACTACTATACACTGAAGCCAGCAGCTGGCGTGGTGGTTAAGGGTGCTAGACTTCCACATGGCCAACTCCAGTTTGAGTCCCGGACCTGGAGGTTAGCTTTCTCACTTTCCCTCTCGCTCTCTCACTCTGTCCCTCTCTGGTCAAATTAAAAATAAACAAAGAAAAAGTTAATATACACACATACACAATTACTATACTCAATTTGAGACATTATCAATTATAAATGGCATCATTATTTCATAATACCACTATTAGGGAGAAAAATGGTAGCAAACTGTGACTCAAAGACCCATTCCAATTTTAAAGAGGTTAAAATAAGAAAACAGTATGTCTTATAACAGATGTTAGCTCATATCACTGATAAAGTTAAACATGTGCCTACTCAAGCTTACTTGGTGACAATTTTTTTTTAAACATTTTTGTCATAGGGTGCATGATTTTCCAGAGAGACAATGAGAGGAAAAGTAAGAAATCCTCCCCCAGGAGGGATAGCCATGCTGCAATCCCTTCTGCTCCATTCCCCTGAGGTTTTAGGCACACACACACATGCACCCAGTGTGATTTTCAAGGTGCCAGGTCTGGGACTCAAACCATAGTCAACTATGTGGGAGTCGAGACCCTCCATGCTACCTGCTGGCTCCACTGAGGAGCTAGGAGACTTGAGTGTGGTCTGGGTAGGCCTTCTCAAGTGAGTTCATGCTTGGGGCCTCGGCTCAAACCATAGTCAACTATGTGGGAGTCGAGACCCTCCATGCTACCTGCTGGCTCCACTGAGGAGCTAGGAGACTTGAGTGTGGTCTGGGTAGGCCTTCTCAAGTGAGTTCATGCTTGGGGCCTCGGAGTAACTTTCTAGGAGACTTGAGTGTGGTCTGGGTAGGCCTAGTCAAGTGAGTCCATGCTTGGGGCCTCGCAGTAACTTTGGAACTTTTGGTATACCACCAGCCCATGTGACTTGATCCTCTTCACTAACTTCTATCTCCTTAGCTTGCTACCACCTCATCAAGAGCTGAACATCTGGTAGAGAAGCCAAGCACCTGAAGTTACCTCTAATTGCTGACCTGGGAGACATAGCCCTCCAGTGGGAACACACCTGGGAACTAATGGTGAAATTTCCTCTACCGGTACTACAGAATCTACTCCAATAAAGAGAAAAAAGTGAATACTGCATAAGGTGACCAAAAACCAGCACAGAACATGAAGGAACATGAGAAAACAAGAGGGTAACTCTCCCCCAGGTGAGCGTAGTAGCCCCTCACCAACAATAGCACAGAGAAATACACAGAAATATCAGAAAAAGAATTCCAAATATTCGTAGCGACAAAACCCAATGAAATTTAAGAGAAAACAGACTATCAAGGAAATAAGAAAACCATTTCAGGACATGAAAAGAGTAATTTCATAAAGAAAAAGACAACCTAAAAAAGAATCAAAAAGAATTTCTAGAAATGAAGAGTATAATACAAGAAATTAAAATCTCCCTAGAAAGCATTATCAGCAGATTGGACCATGCAGAAGGGAGAATTCTGACCGTGAAGACAAAGTTTCCAACAGAGACCAAATCATCAAAAAGAATGAAATACAACTACCCCCCAGAATGAGGACAACATGTGGGAATTCTAGACACCAGAGACAATGAGAAATGCCCAAATAGCCGTATATTGGGTATTCCAGAAGGTGAAGAATCTGCTAAAGGGATGGAAAACTTTTCTATGAAATACTATCTGATAATTTTCCATAAAGAAAGATGGAGAAACCCAGACCCAAAAAATAAAAAGGACCCCAAAAAGAATCAATACAAAAAGATCCTTCCCAGGAACCAGCAGTTAGCGTAATGGCTATGTCGCTGGACTCCCACGTAGTCGATCACGGTTCGCATCCCGGACCCGGTGGCTTAAAACTCATGCTGGGCGCATGTGCGTGCGTGCCCAAGATCCCAAGAGGACAATGGAGGAGAAGGGATTCCAGCGTGACCATCCCTTCTGGGGAGTGATTTCTCGCTTTCTGTCTCTATGCCTCTCTCTGTCTGTCTGGCTAGCGCACGCACCCTATAGCGAAAATCTCTCCCAAAAAAGATCCTTCCCCCCAGCATATCATAGCCAGATTGGTAAAAATTAAAGACAAAAATAGTATTGTAAAAATGGCAAGAAACATCAAGTTACTTTTTTTTTTTTAAAGAGGTTTTTGCTATAGGGCGTGTGCACTCGCCAGACAGACAAAGAGAGACAGAGAATCAGAAAGCAAGAACTCACCCTCCAGGGGGAATGGCCACGCCGCAATCCCTTCTCCATTCTCCTCTCAAGATCTTGGGTAGGTACGCATACATGCCCGGCGTGAGTTTTAAGCCACCAGGTCCGGGACATGAACCGCGGTCGACTACATGGGAGTCCAGCGACATAGCCATTATGCTAACTGCTGGTCCCAACATCAAGTTACTTATAAAGGTTATCCCATTAGGCTAACATCAGACCTCTCAACTGAAACATTGCAGGCAAGGAAAGAATGGGAAGATGTATACAAAACATTAAAAGAACCACAATTTCAACCAAGAACACTATATCCAGCAAGATTATCCATCAAATGGGAAGAATAAATAAAAGTATTCTCAGATAAAGAAAAATTGAAAGAAGTCACCAATACTAGACCAGCTCAACAAGAAGTACTGAGGGGAGTGTTGTATTAGGATAACTAAAGAGAGACCAACAGCAATAAGCAAAAAGAAAAAAGTTAGGAAATTTGAGCATATTCAAGTTGGATTCAATGTAATCAAGTTCGTATATGCTGAAGGAGATACATTTTTAAAGTGTGACACAAAATCACCATCAAATCCTTCTATAAGCATTTCCAAAGTACATTATTTGGATAGGGAAATTTAATGTTCAACTGAAATCTTTTTCATGCTTGAGTTACTCAAAATTTATCTCAAAAAGAGAATGTCTATGATTCTACTATTTTTTCCCAATCACCACCACCGATCTAAGTAAAAATGCCAGCAGCTATTTCATCTTCACTCAGAAATATATCCCAGAGGTAGCATAATCATCTTCCTTTTTAACTATTAATGCAGAGAGGAGACTCTCCCAGCCATGCTCTCTACCTTATCAGTTCAAAGCTTAGAAAAGGAAAAGTTACTTACATGACTAGCAGCATTTCTTAAAGAAGCAATTGTATTTTCCTGAACTTTTGCCATCCTAGAGAAGAAATATATTTATCATTAACTACAGAAAGAAAAAAAAAATGCAATGAGGAAGCCAACTGTACTTTCAACAATGGAAATAATATTTACTCTATTTTGAGGCTAATTTTGCCATCCCCAAAATGACTGTGACCATCACTTGGTTGGTGTGCATATATATTCCATAAATACGAGTTATAATTGATTATGGTATTTACAAGCCGAGAACAGATATATTCTACCATAGCACATGCTTCCCCTGCCCTTTTCTCTTGGAGAAAAGCAAAATAGCCAATGTTTAAAAAAAAAAAAACAAAAACAACCCTTGGGAACCAGCAGTTAGCATAATGGCTATGTCGCTGGACTCCCACGTAGTCGATCGCAGTTCGCATCCCGGACCCGGTAGCTTAGAACTCACTCCAGGCGCGTGTGCATGCGTGCCCAAGATCCCGAGAGGAGAATGGAAGAGAAGGGATTGCGACATGACCATCCCCCCGGGGGGGGGTGATTTCTCGCTTTCTGTCTCGATGTCTCTCTCTGTCTGTCTGGCGAGCGCATGCGT